GAGTGTCCCAGTAAAAACTGCAAAATAACTTGATTGCTCACAAGAATCCCCATGGGCCCTTGTTAAAATACAAAATCCCGGGCCCCACCCAGACCTCTTCAATTAGAGTCTCCAGAGGTGATTCTGAACATCAGTTCAGTTGGGGAAATAGCGTCATAGCTGAAGGTACCCTGGTTTTGTAGGCACGATTAGGTACCAGATGCGCAGGACCATCCTGGGCAGGCTCGAAGCTCGAGGAAGTGCTCTGGGTTAAGGCTTGAACACCAACTAAGTTTTGCCCTCAGTGACCCATCTGAATAACTGGCAAAAGCACAATGCAAAGACAATCTTCTGTGCCTCCGCCAACGAGCAACCTTTCCTTTGACTATGTGACCGGCTCCTGGACCATCTGGCGACACCGACTTCGCAGCCACCACATTTTAATGGGTGCTTGAGTCCCAAATAAAGAGGGAACTTCTGCTTGGCCAAGGGCCTGGCTCTGTGGTCAGCCTGACCAAGTTCCTCTCTCACCCCACAGTTATACCACCCTGTGACCGACAGAAAGATCTCTCTCGGAGGCTCTTCCCTATCTGGAGAAAGACCTAGCGCGTGAGGTCAAACGGGATGTTTGTGCACTGCTCACAGCCACTCTCACAAATGTACGCAATTGTCTTTATTAACGGCTCTCAGGAGGCAGCTTTAGGCACGTGGCCCGGGAGGGAATCACCTGCCGACAGCAGGATCTTCTGGCCCTTTGTGTTGGCGGGCGCGGCTGAGGAGGGCCCCCAACATGAACCTTGTGGTCCCTCAATTTCCGGAGGTCTCAGGCTCATCAGCAAGGAAACGGGGGCGAACTCCTCTCTCCACGGCCGCCGGGAGGCTCAGCGTGGACTGCGGGCCGGGGCCGCGCGCGGGGCCTCCGAGCAACTTCAAGGCCGCCCGAGTCGACACGACCCGAACCGAACACATTCGGGAACGAGAGACCGCGCGTATTGCCCGCCCCCGGGATCGGGCACAAGCGGCGCCAAAAACGTTCGTCCCAGGGCGCAGGCGCCGCGAGCGCGGCCCGCCGAGGCACTGCGAGCACCGCGCACGCACGGACCAATGAGCGCCGGCCTTGCACAAAGCGAGTCCCGCCCCCAAGGCGCCGCCACCGAATCCCCTCCCCCTCCCTGCCTCCTCGGCCCGCCCATTCCCGCCGGCGCCCCGCCCCGCGCCGTTCTCGGGTAGAGGCTCGCGATTGGCTCAGGGGACGGGCGCGAACTCTGATTGGCTAAAACGGAGTCACGAGGGCGCCGTCGTCGCCTTTCCAGAGGCGATTACTGGGCAAACTCAGTCTTTTGCCCCAGTCTCGAGCTCTAGCTGGCAGCCAAACGTACGCGCTCCGGGATCTTCAGTACCTGCGGCCGCCATCGACGTCGCTTAGGTGCTTCTGGGCTCATCTGCGCCACACGCTACGCCGTCCTAAGCCGCCATCATGGTGAAGCTCGCAAAGGTAAGAAGCCTTGCCCGCGCAAGCACGGACGTTAGGCCTGCTTTCTGAGGAGCGCGCGCGCGCGGCGCCGCGAGGAGGAGGGCCTGTGCGCCGTCTGAGGCGCGTTCGATGGCGCCATGCTCCGGGAAGTCTCGCGCGATTAGCGGGGAGGTCTCGCGGCTTTTGGCTCCTCGGTGGCGAGGTGAAGGGCTTCGGCAGGTGCCCGGGATGGTGGACGCGGCCGGGAAGGATTCGGGGACTGAGCGCGGGGAGGGGGCGCTGGGCCTCGGGCGGAGGGATGAGGCCAAACTCCTGCGACGGGCGCGAGCGGGGCCCCGCCTCCTGACGCACGTGCCCCGGCGCGCAGCCCGCCACGTGGGCCGCGCCGCGTGGGTCCTGCCGGCTGTGCAGGGGACCGGGCTGTGGGGCGAGGAGCGGCGGGATGGCTGTGGTCGGAGGCCCGGTGTCCTCCGGCATCGTTGCGCCGGCCGGGCGGACCCGAGTGGGTTTTAGGGGAGGCCCCGCCGCGTGCTTCTGCGCGGGGCTGTGCGCACATGGTGGCTCGCGCGGTACCCCACGTGGCCCCGCCGGGCCTGGAAGGGGCGGGGTTGTTTCCCTGGGAAAGGAAACCTTCGGAACGCCGAAGGTCGTTGGGATAAGGCGCGATTTTAAAGATCCTCACCAGAATTTAATTCGGATGAGAGTGGTGGAAGGAGGTTCCAGAATTTAGCATTTTAAGGTTGATTTTCCCGCCGGGTGAAGGGCTCTTGATTATTGGCCGTTAGAATGGTTCAGTTGTAAGCTGCTAAGTATTAAATTGTGCATGTTGTAATGGTTGATTTTGGAAGTGTAGTTTTAAATATGTGTGTGCTTTATGAAGACAACGGGAAGAGGGAGGTAATTTCTTTGAAGCTGGCTTTTCCTCTTAGGGTTGATTTTTGTAAAACCCGACGGGAAAATGTGTGGGAGGTTGAGAATTCCCGTCCTAACGTGGATATCAGTCGTTTTAATGTTGATTTCGTTATTTAGCAGTATGAAAAGTGGATTCTAAGGGAGATGACCGCTTGTTAGTTTGAAGAATGACGACAAAATATTAGTGGCCTGCAGTGTTGGAGATGTGAAGTGCTAATAATTCCGTCTGTCTTAGGCTGGTAAAAATCAGGGTGACCCCAAGAAAATGGCTCCTCCCCCAAAGGAGGTAGAAGAAGAGAGTGAAGATGAGGAAATGTCAGAAGATGAAGATGATGAGAGCAGTGGAGAAGAGGTAATTATTTACAACTAAATGCAGAATTATGTTAGACTACAAAATGGGGAGTTAAACAGGTGGTATTGGATTTCTGAAAATACTGGCAAAAATAAGATGATATTCATTCATATGAGGCTTGTTGTAATGCTTCGGTGTTTCCCAGCCTCTTCGTTGACATGTGGAGATACCACAAGGGTAAGTATTTGAATGAGTTTGAGAGAAAACATCTGGAGTCTACTTTTTATTTTTATGTGCCCTCTGCGGGGCTTGATGTGTGATATGGTGTGTCAAATCATTACATTGTTTAGCCCTATATCCTAGATAAGGAAGCAGCGTGGGCAGTTTAAGTGGCAGCCCTGGGCGTTGTATTCAGGTCTGAAGTTAGCCTTACAGATTACTTTCCTTGCCTCGAAGCAGGAGTAGTTGGTCAGTACTCCTCTGCGTATGAACTTCGTAGCACTAGTCACTGTATTGTAGTTATTTCTTGGTGTGGATTGAGGGTTGCCACTTTCTCGTGTGTTAACATTGACGCTATCTAGCACTCCTGACTGTTTGCTTACTGTAAAGACAACTAATCACTGTATTTGGGCTTAGATTTTTTGTTTAGAATTTATTTAAGAAGGTTTTATTCAAGCACAATACCTGATAAAACTAGTAATAAAAAGTGGCTTTGAATGCGACTTAAGTGTAGCCAAATGTTTGCTTTTATGAAGCTAACATGCTCGCTCCTTGTATTAATTTTGCAGAGATTGCCTGTCCATCATATTTGATACTCATTTTATCTCTGGTCCTAAGAATGAGCTTTCAACGAGCTTTATACCACTGCTAGCTAGAGGAGCTATAAATGATTTAATAACACTTAACACAGAGCTTTCTACGTGCAAGGCTTGGCTTAAAGTTAGGTTTTAAAACTTTGCTTAAGGCCACACAGCAGCAGGTGGGGTCCAGACAGTCTGTTTTCATAGTCCTTGTTAGGATATGCTGCTTTAAAGCTGATGCGATTGTATGAAGTATGGAGTGCAGGAATTCAGAGGTAGTTAAATGTTAAGGGTTCTTTATGCTCAATGTGTTTAACATAAAGGTCAAGACTGACTGCATAGGCGTAAAGAAGGGCGTGTGAGGGACCCCACAGTGTAATACGTTAGCACATCTGATGCATGCAGTTTTGAACCAGTGCCAGAATTTAGTGCTCATTCATGGGACCAAGGCTCTCTTTTTTGGGTTTGGAAACAGACTTTTGTTTGCTTTTATTCTTGAGGTTGTCATCCCTCAGAAAAAGGGCAAGAAGGCTACTACAACTCCAGCAAAGAAGGTGATGGTTTCCCCAACAAAAAAGGTTGCAGTTGCCACACCGGCCAAGAAAGCAGTTGTCACTCCTGGCAAAAAGGCAGCAGCTCCGCCGGCCAAGAAGACAGTTACACCAGCCAAAGCAGTAGCAACCCCTGGCAAGAAGGGAGCCACACCAGGCAAAGCATTGGTGGCAACCCCTGGTAAGAAAGGAGCAGCCACCCCAGCCAAGGGAGCAAAGAATGGCAAGAATGCCAAGAAAGAAGACAGTGATGAGGAAGATGACGACGACAGTGAAGAGGATGAGGAGGACGATGAAGATGAAGATGAGGATGAATTTGAGCCAGCAGTGATGAAAGCAGCAGCTGCTGCTGCCCCTGCCTCAGATGACGAGGATGATGAGGAGGAGGACGATGACGACGATGAAGACGATGAGGAGGAAGAGGAGGAGGAGGAGGAGGATGAAGATGGTAAGGAATTCTCTTGGTGGTTTACATTCCTTTTCCTTAAGATTTTCTTAGAACTATAGTGTTGGTTTTGGGAGAATTCTCTTGAGTTGACTAGGTGGCTTCTCTTTCAGACTCTGAAGAAGAAGCTATGGAGACCACACCAGCTAAAGGAAAGAAAACTGCGAAGGCTGTTCCTGTGAAGGCCAAGAGCACAGCTGAGGATGAAGACGACGACGAGGATGAAGACGACGAGGAGGATGAGGAGGAAGATGATGAGGATGAGGAAGATGACGAAGAGGAGGATGAGGACGACGAGGAGGAGGAAGAGGAAGGTAATCGGGCTAGGTTCTGAAGTACATTGGCAGTTGTGTTAAAAAAAGGAGGCACTTGAATATTTGTGGCTACTCATGGATGACACAGATTGTTTGAACTCTTGTTCAGAGCCTGTCAAAGAAGCACCTGGAAAACGAAAGAAGGAAATGGCCAAACAGAAAGCAGCTCCCGAAGCCAAGAAGCAGAAAGTGGAAGGTACCTTGCAGAATGGGGGGTGGGTGTGACGCCTCATAGCACAAGTGATGAACAGCAGAGGGACTTAATGCTGAAACGTGATGTCTCACTAGGACATGCTGATGTGCTGGGTGGAGGAATGTTCATGTTTGTGCCACTCTTTACAGATAGACTGGATTTGAATTCATTTTTTTGTACAGCCACAGAACCAACTACATCTTTCAATCTCTTTGTTGGAAACCTGAACTTCAGCAAATCTGCTCCTGAATTAAAAACGGGTATCAGTGACCTTTTTGCTAAAAATGATCTTGCTGTTGTGGACGTCAGAATTGGTGTGTCTAGGTAAGTGAGGGGAGTCATGCTGTAGGTATTCTGCACGTTGTTCCTGGGTCTGCTGATGCTTTTTCTCTCTTCTTAGAACCTTAGATTGCTGTGTTTAAACAGGAATATGTAAAAGTACTTTAAGATTAGACATTAACAGATTATCGTTAGGTTATCTAATTGGAAAGCCTCAAATTGGAATTTCCATAATCTCACTTACTTTTTGATAAAGCACAAAGTAACTTTTAGTAAGTTATGAGATTTGATGCTTATTCTTAGGAGTCTCTAAAACTGTTAGACTTAGGGAGCCATAGTAGTGAGTGCTTTCAGCCAGACAGGATTCTCTTAGTGCCTAAACGGGTTCTTCTGTCAGCTCCGACTGTCAATTGTTAATGAGCCATGCAGCTCATAGAGACCTCAGGGTGAACTTGAATCAGGTCTTGGTGCTTAGGCCTCGCTCTGTAGCCGCAGCTTATAGAGCCTTTCCGTTGGTGCTGAAGGTGCTCTTTTTCTTAGTCTTTGTTTGTACTATCACGTTAGTGTTGCCAGTTGCCCAGAATACCTGTTATGTGGCTCTCGGGGTTTTTCTCCACCTATAATTTTGCCTTTTTCACCTGGTCGCCTAAAGGAAGTTTGGCTATGTGGATTTCGAATCTGCTGAAGACCTGGAAAAAGCCTTGGAACTCACCGGTTTAAAAGTCTTTGGCAATGAAATTAAACTAGAAAAACCAAAGGGAAAAGACAGTAAGAAAGGTATGTAAGGCTTTAGGTAATTGTGATATTGATAGGTAACTTGTTAATGGATATGTATCTAGTCTAATGTATACTCAGGAGCTAGTTGGCCGGGGTAAATAGTTTAACGTTATCCCTTTTGTTTCTTCATAATGTTGTGAGGATTACGTGAATTAGAATGTTAAATGTGTACAGCGGTACCTGGTATTGGCTTGCTGGTCTTAAAAGTTCCAGTGTCAGGTAAGCAAGAGTAGAACTGGTTAGAAGTACCTCAATTAACGGAGAGGTCTTTCCTCTCTTTGATCCCTAATTATTCTTTTTGTATCCTTTACCTTTTCTCTTATACTTCTCATGTTGTAGAGTATGTGATTTTTTTTTTTTTTAATTTAAAAATACTGAGGGCCAGCCTGGTGGCGCAACAGTTAAGCGTACGTGTTGCGCTTTGGAGGCCCAGGGTTGGCCGGTTCGGATCCCGGGTGCGGACATGGCACCGCTTGGCAAGCCATGCTGTGGCAAGGATCCCACATAGAAAGTAGAGGAAGATGAGCCTGGATGTTAGCTCAGGGCTAATCTTCCTCAAAAAAAAAATTGAGCACCTACTGTAGGTTGAGCTCTTCCAAGTATGCAGCACATAGTTTTCTGTCATTGGGACATTAACTTGTGTTTTGCCACGGCTTTATCTCCATACTAGCAGAGTGCCTTATACATTATAGGATTTCAAATTATTTCTTGAATGGAACTTTTCCCTTGGTCAGTTTTTGTTGGTCTTTGGGAGAGGGATCTTTTAAACCATCCAGTTCATTTTGTGTGTTTTTTATGTAGATCGGGATGCCAGGACACTTTTGGCTAAAAATCTGCCTTACAAAGTTACTCAGGATGAATTAAAAGAAGTGTTTGAAGATGCTCTGGAGATCAGATTAGTCAGCAAGGATGGAAAGAGTAAAGGGTACGTTAATATGTCTACTGGAATATTAAGAGTTGCATTAAAATCAGTGCACTTTGATTTATAAAAGAAATGTTGATCCAGTTTTCCTAGGTATGTGGTTTTGGGCAAAGTAACCTTTAACCTATGCCTTAAATTTCCAAATCTGTCATGTGGGAATAGTGTATTTAATTCATGGAGTGGTTTTTAAAGTGAGCTGACAGAATCTGCCTAGCTTATGTAAATGCCTTATGAGTGATAGCTGTTACGCAGTGAGATGGGATTACCAGGAGCGGATTTCCTAGGTATTTGGCAGACTTTGTTTACAACAAAGTTTTAATTGAAAAGTGGAAGATGGCAGAAACTTAATCTTTCAGTTAGTATACACCAAAGGGTGTTTTTCTTATACTTAGACCTGAAACAAGGTCATGTTGAGAGTAAAACCTTGATGTTAAAGAATTAATATGGTTTTAAAAATCGTGTGAGTTCTTAACGTTTTTTTCTATTGCAGGATTGCTTATATTGAATTTAAAACAGAAGCTGATGCAGAGAAAACCTTGGAAGAAAAGCAGGGAACAGAGATAGATGGACGATCTATTTCCCTGTACTATACTGGAGAGAAAGGTCAAAGTCAAGACTACAGAGGTGGAAAGAATAGCACTTGGAGTGGTGAGAATTTACAGGCTCCCTTCAGGATTCTAGGATTGATAGAGAAAAATCCGTTGCATCTTTGTACTTCATAAGTTGATTAATTTGCTGTAGATCAAGCAGATTATACTTCTGTTTGTGATAGTAATTCAGTATCCTGAATAAGAGCTATATGAAATCCTTTAGCATTGGAACATAGGTAAATCTAGCTTCCTTTGTATGTACGTTTTATACTTTGAATGGCTTTAGATCATGTATGTTTCTAAATTAGAATATTGTTCTAGGAAGACATGGCTTGGTAGTCGGTTTACACATCTGAACAACAGGAAGGAAAGGAAGCTGGACATAATACATAAGTGCTCAATATGTTGAGTGACAGGTGCGATTTCACCTGCCTCAACATTGGCATATTAACTCTCCCAAGCACAGTAGTTCTTAGAAACAAGATACTGCTGTAACTGAGGTTGCAGTCAGTGTTTCACTGATCTCTTTATTTGCAGGTGAATCAAAAACTCTGGTTTTAAGCAACCTCTCCTATAATGCAACTGAAGAAACTCTTCAGGAAGTATTTGAGAAGGCAACTTTTATCAAAGTGCCCCAGAACCAAAACGGCAAATCTAAAGGGTAAAGATAATTAGTCTCTATGTTGTCAGTCATGGGCTGTGAATGTCTTGCGTAGATCTAAAAAAAGGTAAAATTGTGTGTTCCTGGTTGTTAGAATCTGCATCATTTTAGCTACACCATTCAGTATAAATAAAGAGCATCATTTAAGTCTCTGCTTGAGGAAAAAAGTCTTGGTGGCAATCAAGTATGACAGGAGACCTGTGGTTGGTAACTTATTCTAAGAATTAACTCTTCATCCTCAGGTATGCATTTATAGAATTTGCTTCATTTGAAGATGCTAAAGAAGCTTTAAATTCCTGTAATAAAAGGGAAATTGAGGGCAGAGCAATCAGGCTGGAGTTGCAAGGACCGAGGGGATCACCTAATGCAAGAAGCCGTAAGTCACTGTTCACAGGGTGCTGTGTTTGGGGGTGAGCACTGAGTGCTGGGCTTAAACTTTTTATGTCGAACCTAGAGATGAACATTTGGTATTTGTTGCTGCTGAGTGAATGATACTGGACATGATGACTATGATTATCTGAGAAATTATTGATGAAATCTCAAGAAAATTCCTCTAGATAGTCAAGTTCTGATCCAGCTGTGTCGGCTCGAAGCAGCAAATTAGCCTGATATCACTGCCCTGTATGGTGGTCTTGGCTGCCTGCTTTAGTACTGTCCCGCTTGTTTAGGTTGCTGCTTTTGTTTTCCGTGAAGGATTTGAGACAGGATTTTAACTTCTCTGGCAATCAGTGCAAACTTGAGAGGGCAGTGCTCTAAGCCCTTTGCCTTAATTAAGCACTAGTTGGCTAAGTTGCTTTTACCTACTTTTTCCCACATAGGCATTTAAAGTGAAAGGCTAGCTTCTGCTAAGATGAGTATTCTTGACCAGTACTCATCCTGGATAGTAAAGAAATGCAGCATCTGGTCATTATGAATTGTGACTTTAAAGGTACAATTTTTATTTATCTTCTCCAGAGCCATCCAAAACTCTGTTTGTCAAAGGGCTGTCTGAGGATACCACAGAAGAGACATTGAAGGAGTCGTTTGACGGCTCTATTCGTGCAAGAATAGTCACTGACCGGGAGACCGGATCCTCCAAAGGGTAAGATGCAGGAAGTGTACAGTGCCCGCTCTGTGGCACCTCCCACCTAACTTGTCTTCTCATTGAGCTCCTTTCTGTCAATTGGTGGCAGTTTATGGATTCGCACGAGAAGAAGAGACAATTCACAGAACTAGCATTATTTTGCCTTCTGTCTTCGCGGAGGTGTATTCTGCTGTTTTGTGAGACATTCTGGGATTCAAGCTGTCAGTAAAACCAGTTTCAGCTTTCCATGGGGGACTGCTCACTACTGGGGAATTTCTCAGTTAAGCAAGGCTACTTTCCGTGGGATCACTACCCAGCATTTGAGGTTAACTGTGGCACTTGTTCCGTGTGTGTGTGTGCTGTATGATGGGCCCTTTCATTTGGTGTTGTAGGTTTGGTTTTGTAGACTTCAACAGTGAAGAAGACGCCAAAGCCGCCAAGGAGGCTATGGAAGATGGTGAAATTGATGGAAACAAAGTTACTTTGGACTGGGCCAAGCCTAAGGGCGAAGGTGGATTTGGGGGCCGTGGTGGAGGCAGAGGCGGCTTTGGAGGCCGAGGTGGTGGCAGAGGAGGCCGAGGTGGATTCGGCGGCAGAGGCCGGGGAGGCTTTGGAGGTAAGGACAACGAGGGGGAAACCTCAGTGTCTGCGCTGGACACTGCATGGCACATGCACTTCATCCTGTGCAGGGCCAGGGTTCCCTGCATCAGTCCCCAAGTTGTCATTGATCACTGGGGAGGGGAGGAGGACTGGCAGCCTTGCACCCATTCTTTTTCATGAGGATTGGCCCTGAGCTAACATCTGTGCCCATCTTCCTC